CTGAGAGCTCTCTGCCCAAGTCAGGTGTGAAAAACTTCACTTTGCATTTTTCTAGTAATAGCCTTTTAAAATAATTTGCTTCTTAATTCATATTTCTGGCTTATGCAGATTTTTTTTGTGGGCTCGTAAACTCATTAAGAAACCAGTCCCTTGTCCCACCTCGACCCTGTGTTAATTTTTGTTGTTCAGAGACTTGGTCCAGAATGAAGTTTTGCTCCCAAGAGTGTAAAGTAGAAGTGCAGCAGGGCAGGGCTGTGTCAAAACTGGGCAACAACGTTGAGAGACTTGGTCCAGGATGAAATTTTGCTCCCAAGAGTGTAAAGTAGAAAGAGTAAGTGCAGCGGGGCAGGGCTGTGTCAAAACTGGGCAACAACTGCCCCTCTTGGCTACCCCAGCGTGTCCCCTCGCTATTTTGAAGAGGGCAGGAGGGTCACTGTCTCTCTGAATAGCCTGGGTTAGCGAGGGGACATGCTGGGGTAGCCATTTTCAAGAGGGCAGGAGGGTCACTGTCTCTCTGAATAGCCTGGAACACCCGTGAGCTTTCTGGAGGTCAATTTTGGGGCAAGTGTCTTGCAGAATATAAGTTGCCTGGGCAATCTCCTGTGGTCCTGCGATGCTGCCTCGGGCTGGGCATGGGGAGCATTGAGTACCAGTCAGGGGTTTTATTCCATTTTGAATGAGGAGAAAATAAAGATAAGAGCAAACCAGGCTTTAGAGGCCAGGTTTGAGGTCATATATGCTTTTGGCATTAAAGAAGGGGACTCTGTGAGAGGTTTGTCCTCTCTTCAGGTAACGGGCATCTGAGATGAGATAGAAGTTTATGGAGAGCCTCATTTTTGTGTTCATACCTGACTTCGCTTCATTGCTCAGATCTAAGTGGCTGAGGTGGAAAACTGAAGTTTAAAAATCAATATTTCACAATTAAATGCTTTAATGCTTGTTAAACTCTTGCTACAGCAGGCTGGAAGCTGCCTTACAGCCCTTCCAGTAACCTGTCACTTAACAGGGTGTTTTCATCTCCCAGCAGTTATCCTAAGAAATCCAAAAGTCCTTTTTCCAGTTTCCTAATACCACTTCTAAAAGTCAAACTCCTACAGAAGCTTTTGACTTGATCCGAGTGAGTGTAGTTTTTCTTAAATAATGAGCTTGTTCAAGTGGGCAGCAAACACTGTAGAAATGCAGAATCAACTAATGGTTATCTTGAATAGTTTGTGATTTTTCTGCATGGTCCTGCAGTGTCCTGGTCTTGACTTTTGAAGAGCCGGAGCTCTGGAGCAGTGAATCAGGATGGTTTGGTGTCCGAGGCATTTACTATAAACAAGGCTTAAGTTCCAGCTCTTCCCCTCTTCCACTCAAGCTTCAAAAATCTCCTCCAGCATCAGGTCTCCTTCCTTCACTCAGTCCTTTTGGGTTGTTACCAAACGAGTTCGTTCAAAGAGTCTTGGCATCGCTTGGTTTGGTTGTTTTTTAAAAAAACAACTTTTTTTTTTTTTGTCTTGGGGGTCTGATGAAACACGTCGATCATGATTATTATTATTATTATTGTTATTTTTTTTTTTGCAAAGTTAGTTTGGTGATTGGGGAGGGAGGAGTGTTTCCTTTCTGGCAGCATAACGCTCTGCTGCGGGACGTGGGGCCCGTTTCTCCTGAAATATAGGAATTTATGTTTAAATTTATGTTTAGTAGAGATTTTGCCAGTAGGTTGACCAGAAGTAGCTTCAGGCTTACTACTGGGGAATCAATTTGAGATTTTTTCTTTTCCTGAAGAAGGCTGATTTAGGTAGTTTTTGAAACAGGTTGTCTGTCTTTGCTCTCCTCCTTCTGGGACCAGACCTGCCCAACCTTCACACCGAATCCTTGGTGAATTCCCCTGTCCCTGCAGAAGAAACACTATCGAGAGAAGCTGTGGAAAAACACTTATTACTTTGCTTAAAGCTGCTCCTTGTTGTCTTGGTAACAATAAATGTATGGGGTGACTTAAGCACCAAGAGAAGATACAAACCGCTGAACAGATTTCATGAAAAGAGCGAGAACCCTCTGACAAAAAAGCATGTTTTGTTTTGGATATTCTTAACTCCTTATTATTCTCCTCGATCCTTGAGGTGGTAGAAAAAAAGGAGCTCGGATGCTGTGGTGGTTTTTATCACCTAAAAACTAAACTGCAGTAGAACATGAAGGATATTTCTTACGTGTAATTTTTGTCTAAATGAGGAAAAATCTGGATAAAGCCTTTTAATCTTTGTAGATTTTCAGTTATGTTGGCCTTTTATTCAGTTGTTTGTTTCAGAAGCAGACCTTTGATTTGGTTTAAATTCCTCCTAAGCTCCTAGCCCAGGCTAATGTCAGAGTTTCATGCTGCCTTCCCTTCCGAGGACCGGAGCAGAAGCTCCCAGTGTCAGAACCCCTCGGGGAGAGCAGGCAGAGTGCGGGTTTATTACATCCCTACTGCTCGGATTTGAAACCATCAGCGTTGGAATAACTCAGGAATAACCAGGAATATAACCTGGTTTGTCGGGATGCGGGGAACCTCCTGCCTGGTCTCTGTAATTCGGGGGCACGAATTACAAATAATGCGTTCTGGGTGAGAGCTGGTGAAAAAATACAGAAATATTTCACAAATGCAAACAACTGATGGGTCGTGGACGTGCTCTTCCAGCTCTGGTAGATTTATACCATTATTTAACACTTGGAAACGCTTTGCTGTGTGCTCCTGAGCTCAGCCTGGCTCTCCGGGAGCAGGGGGAGCTCTGGGGATGAAGGGGTTGTCTGGGGGCCAGCTTGTGGCCAATTTCCAGTGACTTACCTAATTATACTCGAAATGATGAAAGGTTTGGATAATTGCGCTCAGTGCGTATACGCGTTTCGTGGCCTTGAGCCACAATAAAAGCCTCCAGCTTTTACTCTGGGAAGTTATTCTTAGTCTGTAGAGTCGAGCTGTATTTTTTCACCTTTCCCTAAGGTCAGCTCTGTATGTTCGGATTATTCCAGGTGGTGCTTTATGCTGTGATACAGCTCTTGGGCGTGGGGTTCCACCTGAGCTTGCTGTGTGTTGCCCATGTGCTCAGCAAGCAGTAAATAAGAACCAAGAAATAATTAAATAAGAACCAAGAAACAATTAAATAAGAACCAAGATGTTGGATTTTGCATTTATCAGGTGGTTTTAGCTGCACTGTCGAGTTGCATATTGAATTACAGTGCTTATTTGTCCTTTTGGTGGTTCTCCTTTCGTGAAGAAACCCCCAGCCCGAGCTGTCACGCACTTGCTTCCTTGGGAATACCCATTTTAATTATTTGAAATAAATATTTAGAGCACTTAAAGCGAATCTGTGGCTCTCCCGGCTCGTTTGGCCCAGGGTTGGGATGTGCAGGGAGGCAGCTTTCGGGCTTGCTTCCAGCTTGGCTGCAGTTTCTCACGGGGTAAAGAAGTTGCCGGTAGTTGGTCATCCGATTTCCTTTCTCACTTTTTAAAAAGAAGTGCCTCCCTGATCTTTGAGGCGCTGTGTGCATTAGCTTTTTCTTCCAGAAAGCAATTTGTGAAACGACTTGGATATAGTGCCAAAAAATCCCATTGGGCAATAACGTTGCTCCAAATCCTATATTAGCGTTGCCAGATTTTTTTATGTTGTTTTTTTTTTTATTGCAGTAGAGCAAATTTTTGAATAATCATTAAGATGTTTGCATGGAATTTATTTTTAACCCACACAGCAGTGGTCTGTGTGAAACTGTGAGGAGTCAGGCAATCGTGACTATTAGACATCTCTCTGCATTGATTCTGTAAGGCCTGATAATAATAATCATTGCTGGTTGATTTCTGGAAGCTGTAATGTGCTAATTTTATAGTCGGTGAGTTTTACAGGCAGTGACAAGAAGAGGAAAGATCCTGTTCTTTTAATTCTAAAGGCTCAGCTACAGACGAAAGAGAGAATCCCTACAGTGGGTCCAGTCTTAAAAAAACAATAAATAAATAAAATCCACCTGGAGAGGACAGTGAAATGCTTGGTTTTTATCCCTTTTTTGCAAACAGCGTGTCTTTCCATGGGCTTCTCCCTTGAAGATTAAGGTCTGACTGTATATTTCTATGAAGTTGGGTTTTAAAAGGTTTATCACAGGCCTTTTCTTGCGCTGCACAGGGATGGGGCTCTCACTTTCCTTCTTGATTTCTTACCTGTGCTTAGTATTAAAAAAATTTACTTCCCTATTCAGACTTTTTTCATTCTGTCTTTTCCTTTTGCTGGTGCCTGGATTCACGTTACTCTGTTTTCCTTCTAATTGATGCTTCATGGACTGGTTTGCTTTACCAGTTCTTTGGGTTACTGCTTCTACCCAATAAACTGCCCAGACAGTCAAGGCAGGGAGATTTGCAGCCTTGAGAAAATAATAACCAAAAAAAAAACCCCAAACACCTAATCCGAAAAGAATGCTCAGGGCAAAAATTACTGGGGTAGTAAATTACTCCTGTCAGCAAAGTCTGGGCTGGACTCTGGCGTGTGTCTTTATTTCCAGGATTTTCTGCTCTCTTCCGAAGCGCTACCATTTCCTAGCCATTATTCTTTTCCTATCTTCCCCTCCCTGCAACCATGCTAAATGACTCCCTCTAATCCGACTGGCATTAATTGCACAATCCGAGACGAGGTAGGTGTGTCGCTGGCAGCCCTCTAAAGAAAACAGCCTCTGTTGCACAGACATCTCTTACCCCTGCAAACGCCAAGTGACGTCTGAGGACGGGCGTTACAACTGCAGTCGTGACAAAGGGAATATCCAGAAACTCAAGATGGCAGGAAACAAAAAAAAAAAAATGATGAAATACTCTTTCAGTCTTCTGTTGTAATCGTATACCAGGGAACGTTCCCCACAGTATATTTCTTAAGGCTTGAAGTTTATGGAAAAGGAGCTGGCCGTATATCGTGGGGCGGTTGGACGGAGCTGTATATTTAGGAAAACGAAAAGAATTACCTTTTCCTAACTAACTAAATAACGTTGTCCTTTGCCTTCCAGTCTGCAAAAGCATGGACATCCGCAACAATCTCACCCGGTTGAACATGCTGGAGAACTGCACTGTGATCGAGGGCCACTTGCAAATATTGCTGATGTTCAAAACCAAGCCGGAAGATTTCCGCGAGCTCAGCTTCCCCAAGCTGACGATGATCACGGACTACCTGCTCCTCTTCCGTGTGTACGGCCTGGAGAGTTTAAAGGGCCTTTTCCCTAACCTCACTGTGATTCGAGGAACCCATCTGTTTTTTAACTACGCCCTGGTCATTTTTGAGATGGTTCACCTGAAGGAGATCGGCCTCTATAACCTGATGAACATCACCCGGGGCGCCGTGCGGATTGAGAAGAACAACGAACTCTGTTACTTGTCCACCATCGACTGGTCGAGGATTTTGGATTCGGTAGAAGATAATTACATCGTGGCCAACAAGGATGACAAAGAAGAGTGTGGAGATGTGTGTCCAGGAACTGTGAAAGGGAAGAGCAACTGTCCCCCTACGGTCATCAACGGCATTTTCATTGAGCGTTGCTGGACCCACGATCGCTGTCAACGAGGTGAGTCTGCGGCGTGGGCTACGTCAGCTTGGGGAGGTTCTTGACCTGCCACATCTACCAGAGGGCTAATAATACAGATTAATTGCTTCCTTTAAGCACAAGTTCAAAAATTGACATCAAGTCAATGCAAGGCTCAAAATTGACATCAGGTGAAGAGAGGACCTTTGGCACGGGGCTGTTTCAGCCCTTCTTTCACCTATGAATGATTCACCTCTGGGAATGACGTGTCCAGAAATGTGTTTGGTTTCTCTGGAATAGTTAGGAATTGCCTAGAGCTCAGGAGTTTAACGTGTTGTGAGCATAACTGGTGTCTTGAGTGGTCGTTGGTGGTATTAGTATCTCTATTGGGGCTTGGGAAGGGGATTAGAAATCCAGATTGAGTGAGGGGCTGCAGCAGGCAGAAACAGAACGGTGGAGAAAAGTCTTTATGGAATAAACCCGACTCTAGAAAGGTACAATTATGTATTTTTTTTAACTGAAACCTTCCTGCCATGAGAAGGTGTAAGATATGTGGATGAGTGAGCAACATCTGCCCAGAGTCAGAAGCTGGAAGCCAGGGCAGACCTGAAGGGAGAAGGAGGAGAGAGGAGCTGGATGGGGGTTGCCTGTAGCAGGAATCCTGGGGAGGGGGAAATATCTGAGCTTTGAGCCCCAGGTTTTGGTTTGGGGGAATTTTTTTTAACTGAAACCTTCCTGCTATGAGAAGGTGTAAGATATGTGGATGAGTGAGCAACATCTTGTATTTTTTTTAACTGAAACCTTCCTGCCATGAGAAGGTGTAAGATATGTGGATGAGTGAGCAACATCTGCCCAGAGTCAGAAGCTGGAAGCCAGGGCAGACCTGAAGGGAGAAGGAGGAGAGAGGAGCTGGATGGGGGTTGCCTGTAGCAGGAATCCTGGGGAGGGGGAAATATCTGAGCTTTGAGCCCCAGGTTTTGGTTTGGGGGAGAAGGTATGTTCAGAAACTTAACTTCTGCTGCAGCCCCTGAGCTCCAGTCCTTCCACTGCATTAGGGCTGCTTTTAATTTCCTACAGATTTGTGTCTTCCAAGCCTGGAACCGAGTTTAAGTTTAGTTTTAATTATATATTTGCTTTGATTTATGTTAAATCCAACTGACGGGGAGCAAAGTGAATTGAGGTAAAACGGAGACATTCAGAGTTGTCTGTCTTTCTGGAGGCAGTGTGTCCAAACGAAGCAGTGTGTCCTGAGACGAAATTAGGAAACTTGTGGGCTGGGGAGAATTTCTTGCCAAGCTTTAAAGGGCGACTCTGAGTGCTAAGTGCCAAATTTGAGAAGGAATTCCTACCAGTATGCATAAACTAATGAAATTAATGTGGTTTCCCCTCTGCTACTCCTCACCCCAAAATCGTCTAGCTTCCTTTTAAAGAAAGTGGTTATTTTTTGCCGCCGGAATAACAGGGTCTGAGCAATAAGATGCAACCATGTATGTGTGTTCCTCTTTTAAAATGAAAAATAAGGGTAGAAATCATTTTAGTCCATAAACTGTTTTGGTATACAGTTATTATCAGCGCTGAAACCTGGTTTCTTATGCATTTGTGTTTTATGTTTTTTGCTATTTCATAAGGTTAAAGATCTCACTGAGCCTTTTTCAGTGGCTGAACCGTTTGTAACGTCCCTCATTCCTGTGAATTTTCTGGGGCTGTGCTACAGCAGACTGGAATGTATGGTTTTGCTGCTTTGCATGGCTGTCTGTTTCCATGAAACGTCGTATTTTACCATTGGGGCAGAAATCTCTGCTCCTGAGCCTCTCATACACGTTCAGATGAGCTTCTGTGAGGACACCCGTAGGGTCTCACACGCTCTCTGAGCTTGGTTACCCAAGGAAGCCAAGCTGGGAAATGCATTTGCCTTGAATTTGTAGTTGAAATTTGAATTTGAAAATGGCTTCAAAAGTCATTATATACAGATATATAATCCCATCTTCCATCTGGTTTTTGGAGTTCCCCGTGGAGGAGTCAGAGGAGCAAGGCTCCTACGTGTTCTGGCTGTAACTGGTGTCTGTTTTCAAAACCACTTCACTGGCCATGCTTATCTTTGGGTTGAACTCTAAGGTTTATACTTTTATTTATTGGTAGCTGGTGCTCTCAACGAGCTGGTGTATCTGTTATATTGTGCCTTGTGACACCTGCCTGAATACTTCTAAAGTTATATATATAAAAATATATAAACTATATATATATATAATCTATAAAGTTTTAACAGCTTGAGTAGTCTTTTAGACTTTTTCTGAGTCGTTTGGGTTTGGGTGTTGTTTGTTTTACGGCAGGTTATTTGTATCCCTAGTTTGTTTTCTAAAACTTGGTGTAGAATCTCCTGTTTGCTGTTGTTTTTTTTTTTTGTTTGTTTTGTTTTTCCTTTTGCATCCCTGGATGGGAAGTTGTTGCTGGATAGCACTGGGACTGCTGGTCAGGATGTTTTGTTTGCTGTTTTGTCTACCGGATGAAAACCCTTAAAGAATATGTAAATATTGATTGTTTTGATGTTGCAGAGTGTGTGTCAAGTGACTGAGACAAGTCCCAAGTGCCAGGTTTTTCCAGCCTGCTCAGCCTAGAGTCTTGCTGGAGAGAATCAGGAGACGGACAAGAAGTTTGAGAGAGCACGAGGTTGAAAGACGTTGCAGAAAGGTCTTTGTGAGCGGGCAGGAGTTGGGTTGGAGTAGGGTCCTGGTGTCCCCATCCCATCCACACCATCCCTGACCATCCCCTGCCTTCTCTCTGTGTCACTTCGTTCACATCATCCCTGCCACATCTCGTGCTGATCTTTGATAGTTCTTCATTCTAATCAGCACAGATTATCCCACTTCGCTCCAAAACTAACTTTCAGTTATAGCATATAATTATCTCTGAGGCACACATCCAAGGCTCTGAATCATCCTCGCAGCTATAACTCCAGCCCAGAAATTTTTTTTTTTCGGTTGGTGATAACATGTTCGAGACAACAAAGTGAAGGATCTTCTTACAGACGTTGGAGCTAAGGTTGGGGATGAAAGCGGTTGGGGAGGAACTGAAATGATTTGTGGGCAGCTGCACGCTTTGGGAAAAAAAAAAAGGCAGTTGCAATATTGAGGAATCTGTGTCTGAGTGCAGAGATGCGGAGGTGGAGAGCCCAGAGACTGAGATCGGTCGGGATGTGTTTCCTCAAAGTTCCCTTTCTCTTTTCTAAATTACTTGCGGTGGTGTGAAAAGCGAGTCGGTTCAATTAAGGCCAACTCGTGTTATATTTTGGGTAGGAAGGGAGGGAAACGTGTAGTCTGTTTGGAATTTGGGGCTAGCCTTATGCTGTTTATGGCAGGCAAATGCTGTTCCTGTTCTGGAGGTTTTGTACCTTTTCAGCCCACATTTTTCTAAGGCCTTTTTTTTTTTTTTTTTTTTACACACATACTTACTTTTACTGCCGTAAAACTGTAGTTTCTTAGCTCAGTGCAGCGTGTTCATGCAGAGAACGTCTTTGCTGAAGAATGCAGACAACAAAAATGCTGGAAATGCCACGTCCTAGACCTCAGTCTACATCTGCCAAACATGATTTTCATATTTTGCATTTTTTTTTTTTTCCACATGTTTTTTTTATGTAATAGAAACGCTATATGTCTGTCACTCCGCTCACGGAAGGAACAATTCCCTCTGAAATAGGATTTCCTGCCAATTCTCTTTGCAGCCAGTCCCCTCTGTCCGTACAGAATTCGAAGCAGCCTGATGTTTTTGACAGTCTAATTATAAAGGCGAGTTCAGCCTTTTACTCACTCACATGTTTGGGTCATTTGGAGGTGGAGTGAGGTAATGGGAAGGAAAAATAGAATGGCCAAAGAAAAATGAACGGGGAAATGATCTGTGTTGTCAGACAGTCCCTTGGTAAATATTGGAGGGCCACATTTCTGGAATATAAGGATGAATATCTGAAATATGGGCTTCATTCCTTAGAGGATGTGATGAAATTAAAGTTCTCCTGTTCATCCTGAATGAAACCTTTGTAGGAGGCTGTTGTCTTGATCTTGGGACTTCACACTAGCAGGAAATACGAGTTATTAAGATCGTGGGCCGTTTCGGGTTTGTAGATAGACTCTTTCTTCAAACTGTGGTCTTGCTTTATGTGATAAAACCAAAAGTTGTGTCTCTCCATCAGTGCAATCTAGAATTTGTTGTGAAATATTAACGTCTTGAAAAGAAAGAGGAAGGTATAGGAAAGAATTTGGGCCAGTTGAAGAAGATGGTAGAACAGAGGGACGACAATCTGGAGTAATTGCCATGCAAAAGAGCTGCTGAAGAAAGGTAACATATAAAAATAATAATGTTTGTCCAGGTTTCTTTATGATGTTGGGGAAGCAGGGCTGATAGAGGGGTACAGCAGAATCTCTCTTTAATTTTCCTGTGACTTATTCAGGGAAAATTGAGGGACAGGTAAAGGACTGAAGAGGAGCTTTAGGAGCTCGCTTTGTTTCCTAGGACAAGCAGCACAACAAAGCACATGGAAAAACATTGCTCAGCCTGAAATGTTTTTCAACTGCTGCAAAAAAGCAGCGAGGGCTTTTAAAGAGACCGGTGCCAGAAGAAATCCTGCAACTACGAACATCTTCAAGGCAGGTTTGAATAACAAAGTTCAGAGGTGTGTGTGGGAAACGTTTTGTGATGTTTACTTAGGTAGAAATATTACTTAGCAACAGCTTCCTGTAATTTTTATGTGCTGGGAATTTCTGTAACCATCAGCTCAGTTTTATTACCTTTGTATGGGAAAGGGGGTCTCGAAGCACTGAGCAGACTTAGCCAACCTCAAGGGCAAGATATTTTTAAAGCTTCAAAGACAAAAGAAATTTTTCCAGTTGCTACCACATCAAGTGGAAGTGCTCCTTTTATTTGGAGATCTGATAAGAACTGCCTTTAATTTTTATTTTTAATTTATTTTTTTTTTTCCCCCGAGCTCTGACAAATGCCAGATGGAAGTTGACACCCGATAATCTCTCTGGGGCGTCTGTTCCAAACCTTGC